TCATACCTGTTCTTTGACAAAACTTACACCGGTAGCTGTAAAATGCTTTACGTATCAGGAATTTTCCTGTACGTCAGTGAGCACGTAGCATGCATTGTAGGCACAAGCGTCTCGTATGTGCTCAATTCTTAATCAGAAGAGATTTTCAGAGGTAGTCACGTCTAAAGGTTACCATTTTATTCTGCAAACCTTAATTCACGCTAGTCTCTCTCTCCTGTGTTCATAAATACAGCTGCTGAAGTGTAGAGATGTATTAGTTTTGGGGGTCGTCCCCCCCCCAACAGCGTACAGTAATAGATACAGGAATATCTAAACTACATACTGCCATTTAGTATGAACTGTATCCTAACAATCATCTCTCTTATCGATAATTTTCAGCTGATTATAGTGAAACAACGGGAGCAGCCAGAGATGCTTTTCCGACAGTTCCTAGTAGAAGACAAGAGTATTTATGGAGGAGCTTCTTACGTGGATTTCTTATGCTGTGTTCACAAAGAGATCTGCCAGCTGCTCAGTTAAGGAAACTCAGTCTAATTTGTCAGTTTTTTTCTGATTTTGCAAGAGGGACAGTCGTCGGTGCCTGAAGGCTGGCCCACAGCTCCACCGTACCCAGGCATTCTGCTGTGCTTTAGTGAACCTTCTCTGTGCTCTTTTTGTACAGTTTCATTTCACACATCCTCTCACTACATTTAGTTTACTTATTAAGCTGTAGAATAGGAAGTTCTGCACTCAGGTATTCATCTTCTGGGAGTCCTGACTCTTCCTCTAAGTTGAGCTGCCAGATTTCAAACTGTCAACGCTTAAGAGCATATGGTATGCATTTATTGAAATATAATTTAGAAAACTCTTTAATTGTTCCTCTTGCTAGTCGTAAGTTGTACGAGAGCCAGGAAAGATGTTAAAAATCTATACAGAAAAGGAAAAAAACACAACACTGTTGTGTGTTCACATAGAGCAATTGTTCCTCTTGCTAGTCGTAAGTTGTACGAGAGCCAAGAAAGATGCTAAAAATCTATACAGAAAAGGAAAAAAAATACAAAACACTGTTGTGTGTTCACATAGAGCGAATCAGAAACTGGCATACAGTTGACTCAGATTGGCAGTAATCCTGTAGTTCAATGGGAGTACTTCAAAGTAAGTCCTTCACGTAAAGCTAATCTCTGAAAAATAATCCCCTTTTTCCTGGAAGGGACAAGCATTACTTTCTACAGCAACAGAGCTCTGGGTAACCTTCCACACCCGGGGTTACCCAGGACACAAAAATGCCTCAGGTTATAACTAACTGGACTTGAGTAAGTTTAGCAACAACGGGCTACGGAAAGAACAGTCATCAAACAGTCCTTTTGCTAAGTTTGGCAGATAGATAATGCCACGCTCCTATGGTACAATTCTCTAGTCTTAAGGGCAGCAATTAATTTTGCATACTATTTAATTACATTTGCAAAATCAAACACGTTGGGTTTTATTTAGTGCGTTTGCTAACTGGAATATTCCCAATGCAACTTAGATACGAACATCTGTCCCTCAACATTTCAGTGGCAGGTCAACTGTAAGACAGTTGACACATTAACCAAAGGTTATTTGTGGTGCTATAAAAAAGAAAGCCTCTTGCTTAATACCAGTTCTATTACAGTGACCTCCTCTCTCACACGACTGATTTATTCGGCAGTCACCGCTTTGAAAAATAAGCCTCTGCTCATATCAATATTTACGGTAAAATTTAGAAAGCCAGAGCCCTTGGAAGAGCTGTTTACCTCAGACAGATACAGACAGACTGATGAAGTATCTTTAGGACCAACGCCTCTGCATGTGAGGTTTGAACTTTTCCAAACTTGAAAAGCTGTTGTTACAAAAATCAGTGTTTCAAAGAAAGCAAAAGACCCTCAAAAGGAAGGGTAAGAGTTGGGCCTCATAATAAAAAAAAAAGTGCCTTTAAACATGTTAATGGTGTCGCTACTTAGTGTTAATCATTTTACTATCCGAGGATAAGCAGTTGTCAAGATGCATATTTTTTGGTTTGATAGCTTATCAAAACAGTTGTATCCTTGCGCATTGACTGAGAGCTCTTAAAATAAGTGGCTATATTACGAAAGGATCCTCAGACTGAATTCAGCTGTGACGACAAGCATGTTTTAGCTGAAGCCATTACCCTGCATAAAAAGTATTTGTTGCCATTCCAAATCAGTGAACTTTGTAAAATGACACCAGCAACTCTTTGTGTAAAGACATAAGCAATTATTAAATACAATCATCATGTGTGTGTTCATTCTTTCATATACAAAGTTTTTTATACCTCTGCCAAAAACTATCCACACCTCAAACAGTAGCACCTAAAACCAGTACCCCAGGTCACTACAGGAGGTGGTTTAGGGCAACTAGCAATGGAAACCGGCTTCAGGGCTCAGGCAGCTCCTCCCCCTGCCTTCCCCTGTAAGCGCAGCAAGACAACATTCCAAGGTTGCTACGCTGACTTCAGGAGCCAGGGAACATGGCGAAGTCCAATTAGCAACAGTAACTCCTACAAACAATGCCATGCATCCAACAATTAGTAAAGACCGCTGTAGGTCACCTTCTCCTGCTCTGACTTTAGAGACCGGCAAGCTTACCTGGCATTATGGAATTTTCAGTGTGTTTCTGCTGTTAGCATCACCCCCAGTTACGGGTAAGGAGCCCCGCTCGAACTGGGCCTCAAATGTGCCAGAACAGCCTGGCAAGTAAACTGTTTTGGAAAAATCACTTACCAAGCGAGTCAGGAAACGGGAAGACGCGGCAATGCTCACGTAGTAAGGCAGCGTAATTCAGGAAACGTTTGTGCTCCGCTGCTGAACAAAGTTCACCTCAACAGCAATGAATGAGAGTTTCCCCTCAGAGGTAGGAAGCTGGTGAGCGGCTCCTGCCTCAGCCACGCTTGCTCAGAACCCATTTCCTTACTTTATTCCGTGGAGTTTGCCGATGGCCAGATCGCATCTGCACCACAACCATGCGCATCTTCTACCTGGTCAGCGACTTGCTTTAGGGCAACCTGTTTTACCCCTAGAATTCTGGAGCAAAGTGTACACGTCACTCACCTGTGCACTGGCAAAGCCTACAGAGAGCCAGGATTTCAGGCACAGAGGTTGTAGTAAGACAAAGCTATTTATACTCGCGTAGCTAAGCCATCAGAGCTCTAGCCTTTCACATAAATTTTACCTACATTAAGCCATCATAATGGCTAAACTAGCACCAAGACACAGACACGCGTTGATAACAGCAGCTCTTGCAGCAATCACTGAAGTTGTCACACAGCCATATTACAAGTGCAATTCTTGTCTCCAGCATAAAGGGCAGGACTGTAACATTCAACTCAGGTTTACAGTAGTTAGGACTTTTTTTTTTTTTTTCTTTTTCCTTTTTAATTGCTGCAATAATTATACTCAAAATTACTTCCATGTTTTGCCACAGGACTTACCTACTGCTTGCTTTTTCACCCATGTGAAGAGATTAGTAAGCTTTCCTCCATATTGTTAAGTTGACCTTCATCTCGTTACACTGGGCGACTTCTACTACAGCAATAAAGCTGCCACCCACTTCACCGACTTTGGAAGGAGAAATCATTCTTTCTACTATATACAGAAACAGTGGGCCTCATTCTCTAGCACTTTCAGTTACTCAGTGTATCCTTAAAAAGCCACATTCAAGAAACAAAAGACTTACAGATGCTTCAATGTGCTCCATTGATTCTTTTCTAGAGTGCATTCTGGATATTTCTATCCCCTGCCATGGATTTTAAAACATCCGAGTATTCTAAAATAAATTAATCCCTTGACTTAACGCCATTTAACTTCCATGCTCAGATCAAAATTGTTCTTTAGTTTGCAGCCTTAATTCCACTCCCCTGAACAAAGCGTTCAGTAACATACGCGACGAGCCTGTGTTCACGGTACTGCGCTGGGGAAGAACCTCAGAAAGCCCGGGAGCATTGCCCGCTAACCCACACGGCACATCCAGCGTTTCAACCAACTTCTGACAACCAGCAGGGTCGGAAAGCGGAAGGAATTCTCAAGCTGACGGCTGGATTTACACACAATGATTTACAGCTGACCGATGTCTTAAAATCCCTTTGAAGCTACATGCCAAGACATCCCGAGCATCTTGTCAGTGTAATCGTCAAATCTTTCACTTAATTCACATAGGGTGTAAGATATTCAGAGTACTATAAGCCTCTTCCAGAATGGAAAGACATGACAAGATCCAGACAGGCATCCCAAATCAGATTGGTGGCATTTAATAAAATTGGAAAGGAAGAAACTTGTCAGGCTTTTTATCTTCAAGGATAGCATGCTCAAACTAAGTCTTCGTTTACTTGTGGTAAATGAAGTATTCATCAGTTCACTGATTATAAGCGTTATCCTCCTCCTCCTGTTAAAGTGTTACAACTGAGAGATTAACTGACAACCGGTAATGAAACTAAAAGCTTTTCATCTCCAGACACCACTTTAGATATGGTCCAAATCAACAGTGATTAAAAAAACCCGACCAGATGTTTTTACTGTATAACTGGGGGGGGATAGTGTCTCACTACAGTATTTTCTCAGCGTCATCTCCACAACCACAAGTCCGCGACACGAAGCCTTTAGGTACACGCACCCAACGCGCTACTGTCTTACCTGTACAGGCAATCTGCCACTGTCGAAACACCACCTTCGGATTACGACCGGCAGGTATCTTTCTTCATAGAGGACATGCAGAAAGTTGTATTTCCTTGCCCGTTAACCTCAATTAAAAAAGTACGGTCAGTTGCTTGTTAACGACATGTACGTTACACTTCCCTGGTGAAGTTTGCCCGTCCAGACAGATGTAATCTAACATTCTCTGGTGCAGTATTCTTTTCTTCCTTACACTACTTCAGCTATTGCAGCTTTGAGGGAAAAAAACCAAGAAACCTAACTCCGCACGCTCAAGAGGGATTTATTTAGTAGAATTCTTTTTTTTTTCTTTTTTTTTTTTTTTTTAAACAAGACCACATGCAATTCATTTCCCAAGTCACCGAAGCCTTGAGCAGCACCCCAACTTCTGCAAACTGATACAGATGCACATCTCAACCAGTTATTTTTGAGTCTCCTCTTCAATGTAGCCTAATCTTCTGTGTTAAGAGTAGCCTAAGCACTGAACTATCAGCTATGGACATATAATTAAAAGGGGCAAATGGGAATTAACAATTTCTACTAATTGAGAAAAAAAAGAAAAAGAAGATTTGTCACTGGCACAGGAGCAACCTTCCTAAGGCTAAGCGTCTCCAGTATTTACTTTTTGAGTAAGAACATGAGTAGGGCAAAAGTTTTCTTACTGTGGCGTGTAACTTCTGTCGGATGCTGTTCCAAGCAGTCTTTGGCAGACCCCACTGACAGTCAAACCAGCGCTACCCTTAAAGCGCCCCCTCCCCCAAATCCAGTCACTCTTCGGATGTGCCAATATAACACGGGAAGAAACAAGATGTAAACAGTAGGTGAGTTTCATTTGCACTTCAGCGGTCCCTTACTGAGCACACTACCAAGGCCGCAAAGTTGGCCGGACCCTACAAAAACTTCCGTGCTAAGACTTCACGCCCCAAAGAAGAGTTACTGCCTGCTCTTTTACAACAGTAGGGAGGAAACCACAGTAAAACTTCGCAATTCCAAAACCTCCAGGAGAACAAACCCACAAAATGTTAAGAAAAATATTTCAACATTAGCTTTGATAAACAAGTTTAATAATCCACTACTTTACAGGACAGCTATTTAAAAGCTAGGCTTCAAGAGAGAAACATTATGAGACTTAAAAGCCAATTTTCCAAACTCCACACCTAAGACTTTGAGACTTCAACAGCCAGGTTTGTTCAGTCTACCAAGTATTGACCAAGAAATTCAGAGTTGCAGTTTTGCTAAAAACAAATATTGTACATACCAAAGCGAATCGCTTTCATGCTGTGCTCTGGAGCTGACCACCAACAGTCCATACCCAATGTGCGTAACGTCCACAGGCAAAGCAAAACACTTCGATTACGGCGCCCTCATTACCCAGGTGATTGTTTTCAGGAAGCGCTCGCTCTTACAACATCGCCTCACATTTCCAATACGACCTCCAACGGGGTCCTTCTACTACTTACATTGCAATTGCTCTGCAATAAAACCCGTTTTCCCTACCAAAGAACGAGGCTGTTATGACCAGACGCTGGGCGAAAATCCCTACTCAAGAAGCAATCCAGACCCACGCAGAAGCTCTGGGCGGCATGTAAACGCACAACTTCTTGCTTTCCATGAAGCACAACACACGACCGCACAGAATTACCACTCTCCCCACTACAGACATGAAAAGTGAGTGCACATACATCACAAGTGAAAAATAAACTTGCTCCCTATTCCCAGGAATAATTCGGGAAATTTAAACCAAATAAGAAAAAATAGAATTCTATTTATTCAATTTGCTCCTTGGTTTCAGAGAAGTTAAAATAGGTGTCAATATAGACACAGCACTTTTCTTCCATGAATAAGGGCGTAAGTCTGCTATGGCCGTGCAATTCAGAACCGCGTTTCGTGCCCACTCCATCATATTAATCCAAGTTGGTCCAAACCTGAACCTCCGAAGAAGGAAGAGGAATCCGTGTTCTGGAGAAAATGACAGTTAATAAAGCCCACAACTTGCAAGTTTCATAAGGGAAGAGCAAGTATCTTCACTTCAATCCTCTCCGTGGTTTGAAGAGACAGTGCTCTCTGCTTTGACAAACAGAAGCTGCAGGAGGCTGAGTTTAGTGCCGTCAGGTGCAGGACCCTGCCTGCCAGGTGAGGTGACGGGCCAGGCCGGTCACTGGAAGGCAGACTATCTGTAACTGCTTGCATCAAGAACAATTTTAAAAGTCATCTAGCTTGAGTCCCCAGAATAGTTCGCTTTAGCAAAAACAAGACCAAGAAAAAGATTCAGAGACGAGGCACAGGACCGGGGGGAGAAGCAATTACCTAACAGTCTATCAGCGGGTGGGGAAGCCTCCTCTATGGGTACCTCCACGTCCCCCTCTGAAGCCACCCCTCTCACCCCGGAAGTTAGTTCTGTTCCTCTCTCTGCCCCTTTCTCCTCGGCCTGCTGAAGTCCCTCCTCTTCCTCCTCCCCTTGGAGCACCACCTCCCCGGTCAGACTTGGACTTGGGTGGTGGTGACTTGGGCCGAAGTCTCTCAATCTCTTCGGTACAGCCGGTCAGGTGGGAATTTGGAGCTGTGAAGTATGAGGAATACGTTTCTGCATTGAAATTGCTGTTTGTGAGGGTGGGTCCTACAGTCAGCCAACCTAAGGAACAAAACCAGAGTCAACAAAAGCAAGAACAAACTTCACGCTTCAAGGCCACTATTGCCTTTTTCCTAGTAAATGAACACTCAAGTGATGGGGACAGACACTTACCTACACCTCACCTGTACTGAACGGAATGAAAAGGTCACCTCTAGGAAAGCCAGAGTTGTTGAAAAGTTAAGACTTTACAACATCACTTCTAAGGGCTTCTTCTCTTTTTTTTTTCTTTTCTTTTTTTTTTTAAATTACATATGTCTATGGGAACATTCCAGCTGTGGTTTCACAAGACCCCTTCCTCCTCCCTTCTACTTGTTTTTACACCACAACAATGTTTTCCAGCCCCTCTGGGACCAGACTGTAAACCAGATCAGTAAATTCATCTAGTTTAAAAATAGTGTCATGCTACTCCTCCCCTTTTTAAAAGGCATTTAAACTTGAATTAGGTAATTTTGTCTCCAGAAACCAGTTGTGACAGTGCAGCCAGGAGCACAGCACACTGGAAGCACGCTTCTGAAAACACAATAAAATAACTATGCTGTTGAAGCCCACATGATATGAAAATAGAGCTTAAAGAGTTAAATTAACCTGTTTATGCACAAACATTCAGTGGGCACTTCAGCTTCACCAAGTGAATCAAGGCAGGAAGACATTTAAAACAAGCACGTTCCTATTTCTTCATATTATGAGCTAAAGTAGCATTCAGACCTAAAATGGGGCTCAGAGCACTTAAAAATGTCAGTGGAAACTGAATTTTCAGTTTAAGAAAAATGTAGTTCAGTGATCTCAACAACATGCTTATAAGGAAAACAAGAATAAAAAAACCCCAAGATCAGTTCTTTAACACTGTTCTGTTTACCCTGGCAATTTACGTAACATTTACCTTGTTTCCTGCACATTAAAAAAAAGAGAGAGAGAGAAAAAAGGAAGTCTATTTGCATTTGTTTAGGTCTTCATACTTCACAGAGCACTGTGAGGATTCACGAACAGTAATTCTAAACTCAAAGTGCTCATCGACAAAAACACTGTGCTCTGCCAACTTCCTGAACAAAGAATAAAGGGAAAAAGGTGTCCCTACTGCTGCGATGAGTATAGGATTTAAAGTATGCAATGCAATTCCAGGGTAACCACCAAATTTGAAAATACAAAAGTCGAATCAGACTAACCTGACCCTGTCAGACATTAACGTGTAAGAATTCACCTACAACAGCATTGAAGTAATACCGGAACGATGTCTTTCTATAAAACAGAACAGCCCCCCTACACACACCCCCCCACCACCAGTAACCAACAGAATTAAGACTGACGTCATCATTAAAATTCAAGCCGAAGGCCAGTCAAAGAACAGGAATGGCCAATAATCACTACTCCGTAGTCGTATGAGCAAGAGAGAAACAACACCTTGACATTTATTTAGGTAACTTATTGCTTGCAGCTTGTATACTGATATACATCCTATTCCAATTGCAGTAAAAGAATAAGCAACTTTTATTTTTTTTTAATATCAGAAGTATTAGCATTCCATGCAGCAAACCAGGCCTTGGATGGACTTGTATCCAGCTCTCCTCTGTCATCCAAACTATTAATCTCTAGGGGAAAACAGAGAAACACAAACCTGCTGACAGCTATAGCACTTGCCCCACTCACATGCCCCCCCCACTTACTTTTTGAGAAGGGCATGCTGTTACCATAAATTGTTCAGAGTCCAACACTCACAGTACCCCTCAGTACGTGAGGTATGACTACACTATCCGTAACATGAGGTATAAAGTCTGTCAATTCAAGCATTCATTGGCAGTTGAAAGAAACAGGACTGTTGAATTGCATTTCACCTCAGGCTTTAGGGCAGAAACGTCATTGACAACTGATACAGAAGTCAAAAAAGGTGTCAAAATAGATTTTATTCTCCTGCAGTGAAAGTCCTTCACCACTTACGCATGATAAACTGGAACAAATAAAATGCTGTTACCTTCAGTCTGATCCATACATTTCTACGCATTTTTTATCACGCCAGATGCAGCACCCAGTGTTAAGACGCTGCGTCTTCAGATACTGGCAACAGGACCAGCACTAAGCTCATAGTGCTTTAAAATCAGTTTAGAAAAAGAAATCACACTTTGAGAAGCGTAAACACATCAACAGGCGAAAATATTGGTTAACAAAAAAACTTTCTTCTGAAAAAATTGATAGAATTGGTAGTTGTCACAGACTTTCCAAACAACACTGCTTTGTGACCGACAGATCTTCACATAAACCAAAAATGTATCTCCTTGAGAATCATGCATTAGGATTAACTATTATTGCCCCAGCTTCCATCAGAACCCATCAAGTGGCCTCAGATGATGGAAGAGGGTTATTAAAGTAAATTAAAATTTAACTATTTGACAAAAATAAACATAACAGCTACCTGGCCGAATTGTACTGTCTCTTCCAAAAAGATGAAGACGTCGCCGTCCAAGGCAGAAATGCTCAATGATGTGAAAAATCTCTACAGGTTTTTCTATGTTGCCGATTTCAGGCTCTTCAGTGATGATTAGGTCAATGTCAACATTAGCATGGATGAAGTCACCATCTGTACTGCGACGCACAGTTCCTTTAATGCCCATGAGGCAGTGCTCCTACGCACACAGAACACAGAAGAGTACATGTCACACGGCACACATACTGCTACAGCCCCGACGTCCGTGGTTTGAGCACGATGGAGAGAAAAGGAAATTCTAGGCACAGTAGATCCCACTCTTATACAGAGAAAAGTCTGAAGCATGAACTAGAAGAACAGCACAAGCTGGAGCTACCGAAAGAGCCTCTTGAAAACAAAGCAGAGAGCAGTTGAAGCTATCCGGCTTGATGAACTACACTTCGAAGTGATAAAATCCAAATAGAGGCTGGGATAAGATATTTAAACTTCTTCAATTACGGCAAAGTTAGAGCTTTAAGTTGGAAAGGCTGAGAAATCACCACAAGGGAAGAGAGAACAAGGGGATGGCAAGAGTAAAGGAATAGTTATTAATTATGATTAATACTTGTACCAGCTTTCTGATCCTAACTTTATTCACACAAATAATTTTCAAAGTTCTGTCATAAAACAGCCAGTCAGTGAAAATAAGATGTACTTTTTCATATTGTACCTGTTACAAAAGTAGCCTTCACCCTCAGATTCCTTTCTAGAAGATATCACTGCATCAAAAAAGTAAAACCGCTATCAAACTTGTCAATGCACTCTCAGTCAATTCCATCAGCATTAAAAATGTTTTTTAACTGTAATATGCATTGCTTTCCTTTCCTCTAAAACATTGTAGATCAATTTAAGCGACCAGTATGTAGAATCTATGAATGAGGAATCACCGTAATTGGTACAGGATGAAAAGAGCGTTCTACATATTCATTTCCGAGTTCTGTTTCTGGGAATATTAAGCTCAGACGAGCGATTTTCTCCAGTGTCATAAAACACTGATTCACTAAGCGCCACCAGATGGCTCCCAAAAAAGTTGCAGACAAGAGTATGTAATCATTTCCAGATTTTTGGCATGGGTTTTAAGAGTTAGTGAATAAATATGAAAGGCAGAATAGGTGACCTACCTATGCAGTTGGTCAACTGCACCCAAGCTACAGGGGTTTCGGACCTTAAATTTAACTAAATAAAAAGGCAGAATACTGCTAAGCAAATCACCCATCAAGCAAAGCCTCTTAAATCTAGTCTTTAAAAGAACTATCCAAAACATTTTATTTTCGTAACACGTGGAATGTCGTTCATTAGGACCTTAGATTCTGTAACAGGTGGCACAGCATAAAGCATCCATCTAGAGAGATGCCTGAACTAAACATAATAGGATGGCATTTGCTGTTGTAATCACTGGTAAACACATCTTGCACAACAGACTATTTATTTAGTCAGAATAAACTAGCTCAATTGTCAATGTTTATTATAAATAGTGACCTCAGCCCAACCCTTGCTCAATAAACAGAAATTCTCTAATACCAGAAACTATTCTCCTCCGTTAAACAAAGACATAAGTCCCCCCCAAATCCTCCTGTGTTAGTTTTAACCTCTCCCTCACGAGCGAGCTGCACATATTTGCAATACTATATGCAATAAACATACAATATTTATACTTATAAATATTTATAACTGATATAACACACTTTCAAACAGACTTCAGATTAATGTAAATGCAAGTCAAAGAAAGATTCCAGATATCTTAAAGGGAAGTTTATACTCCTAAAAAAATGGCAAATCTGAGCCAGAGTTGGGGATGTTTAATACTAAAGAATGATTAATGAATGTAGAATGAGTCCTGAGGTTAATGGCACTTTAAATATATTAAATTGTCCGCCAACTCTCTGTATTCAGTAAAACTGCCAGTTACACCCACATATACCCAAAACAATTCTTTATTAATCCTATCTACATTTTTCTTAAGTTTTTGAATAACATACTTCTAAAGTCTTTTAAATCAGAATACTTTTTTTCTTCTGCACCTTCTTCAATCAATACATGTCCTCCACAACACATCCCTAAGAAACTCTTTAATTTAAACCAAGCTGACCGATTCTGTCACTTGCGCATTACAGTCACCTTCAGGAAGTCAGGAGATGCTGACTGAGCTGTGGTCCCTAACAGTCCTCTATCTGGTTCAAGCTCTGGGCACATACCTGCACGTGTGTTTTTAGAACCACTAGCCAGTCTTCCAGAGTTGTTTTTTATGACCACATCCATTTATAATCTACAGTATTAAAGACTTCTTTTGACATTAAATTTAGTCAAATTCTACTGCTAAGTTTAATTCCATTCAAAAGGTGTTCCTCCACCAGCAAGTTTTCTCCTCCAACCTGGAAAGGAGCTTGCGTTTTACACAAAAGGTATTGCTAATTGACTAACTGCTTATTTACCATTCACCCGTAACCAAAACAGCCCAGAAGTCAAAAACATTGCAAGGTACAGTAACATTTTCTGTTCAGTTTCCATCTTCCCTCTCAGGATTTCATTCTTGTGCCATCAATCTACGAACCCTCCTCAGCTACCTGTATTTCAACACGGCTCAAATGAGTGTCACATTTAGAGGACTATAATAGAAGTTTACCAAGCAGTGTTAAATGCAGATGAAACTTCTATACCTCACACTGACTAAAGTCAAGAAGGGGACAGAAGTTCCTCATTCATCCTGTGAACATGTTTATTTCCATATAATGTACTTTGCAGAACAGAACTCTGAAGTCCTCGCGTCTGCCTTCCTGAAAGCACGTCACCAACTGCCGTGGAGCACCGGGTGTTTCATTAGCATGAAGAGACAGGATGGGAACAGAGGAGAAATTGAGCCAAACCTTTACCTTGGTTCTTTGGAAAACAGCCTTAGGGTCTAGTGTCTTGGTCTTTCCAGGATTGTTCTTATTCGTTTTAATCCAACAAATGTCCTCACATCTTCTGTAACCCCATTTGCGTAGACACTAAATGTTACAGACAGATAAAATAGTTCACACTACACTGAAAACTAAAGTAACCTAAACTGAACACTCACATAGGTACTTGACTTTTCTTAAAGCATAGCTGGAAGAGAAGTTTGTCACAGATGAATGAAACAGTTTACTGGCACGACTGTACTATGTTCTGTCAAGCTGCCCAAAAAGCATAAAAAACAAGAGGCTTAGGTGCACATCCACTTGTCTACGTATCACCCTTTTTTTTTTAAAAAAAAAAAAAAAAAAACACAAAACCCTGCACAGATATTTTTAATATCACTGCACAGATCCCCTACGGAACTCTGCACTCATTTTTACCTAGTGACACTTAAATTTAATCAAAACCAGCCTGAACAGCATAGTGATCAGCTGCCTTGGCCCTGTCTCAACTAATACCTGCAACTCTGGTAGTTTTTCACATCAAATGTAAAATTCTATAAACGAGAAGATAAATAGCCAAAAGCCTTTGCTAAAATTTTGTGGCTTTTCCTATACCTGTAAAAAAACCCACACACCACACCCCCCAAAAAAAAAAACAAACAAACAAAAACTTACATGACTTTAATCCTTAACTCCTGTAAGTGTAATCTTGGAAAGGAGGAAATTGGGCATTAAGGACTTAAGCTCATTTGGCTATTGCTGTGCTCAAGAACTGTCGAGCTACTACAAACACATCTGTGACCAAAATCAACCTATCCAAAATAGCTACTTTAACCAACCTCAGAATGAAGAGCAGATAAAGCAAACAGATTAGTAACCACATGTTGTCCTTTAACAAATGCCGTATTGTTTTAATAGAAAGCACTGCTCAAACGAAGCAAAGAATGTTTCAGCGCAGCAAGAGCCGACTGGAAATTCTTATTGCACCATCCCCAACACAAGCAGTGCTACCCTGGCATACAGAAAGATGACTGTAAAACGCCAAGACCTTATAGGGAAGTAAAACTTCGTAGAGCTCACTAAGAGTAAACCTACTTAAACTCCAGGTGTTTTCTGAAAATAAGCAGTGCTACACACACAATTTTATCTCACTTTATGAAACAGTAGCACCTTTCTACCAGCATGAATATTCCTGGCAGAAAACTATTAAGACTTCTGTTAAAAAAAAAAATAATGTTGTAAACACACTCAACACAGCAACCTGCTACTGTGGCAACATGCATACATCAAAAACAAGACAGCAGTACAGCTTTCTAGACCCTATAGAATTATGCTCCCTCACATAGTCACAGCGACTCATCTGGAAAATAACAGTATCTAAACAGTTAATGCCAGATACACTTAAATTTATTTAATCCACTTAAAATTATATATCCTCTACCACAGTAACAAAACAGCTCTCAGCAGTTACCGTTGAGAATTCTATGCAGAAAAAGTCAACGATAAAAATAAACTCTTAAGCCTGTCACTGATAAATTGAATTAAAACATCATCTTACCACTCGGCCAAGATCCAGACCCTCGCCTGAACCGCACCATAGAAACACAAATGACCTTGGGGCTGCAATTTCTTCAATTTCCAATTTCATGATCTAGTAACAATAATAGTAATAGAAGTGTTTCTGAATTAAATAAAAATCACCAATTATATCAGGAAGAATACTTAATAAGTGTTGAAGCATTATCACAAAAGCCATCAGGAAGCACTTTTATTAAAGATGTTCGTCTGTATACCATCCACAGCCATCCTCCTAAAGTTGTTTTCCAGAAAGTATGTTGTAAAAGTTACCTTATCAATACCCAAGTGCATGTTTTCAACATAGCTGATGACCAGCTTAATTATTCTTTTTAACAGAAATTCTATCTGTATAGAAAATTCTAGACTTAAAAGACTAATACAACCCCCATGATTCCCCCCCACCCCCAAAGCTCTGCTTCATTTTATCATTCCATTGGTAGCAAAAAGATTTAACAACAGAGCAATAACGCTCTGTTTCTTTTCAGCCCTGGAGTTACTTACGTGAAGCTTGTGAAGACACATTATTAAAAAAAAACAAAACAAAACACCAGCTTAATTCCTATTACTATATAGGAAAGAAATTCTCTCCATTTTCACTTTCAGGAAAGAAGCAGCAAGAATTTATCAGGACAGTGGTTCAACAATGACAAATGAGTAACTTTCAGGTTTAAATAATTTCAGATGCAAAGCATCTGTTGCTCATTAGAAGTTGAAAAGATTCATCTGTAACTTGGTAACACATCAAATCAAGCTTCATTCAATGCCACTGTGAAGAAAAATAATGCAGTAGAAGCCATTCTAAGAGGCTGTAACTCCCAACTAAGAGGATGACTCCTGACTCCAACACTTCCAGTTTTTCTGTTTGGACGGAATGTTTCTTCCCCCGGCAATGCTGCCAGGCACCACTTTTGCCTGATGTAACAGAATGGCTAACACAGAAGCCACCTATTCCTTAACGTGTAGTTACCTAGTCTCTCATCACAGGCGTGAATGCCCTTGTTTTCAAATTCATTCCTTAAAGGAGGACTGAATTTTATTTTGTTCTCATGATCCTTTAGTTTGACTGATTCACTTCTGAAGTTATGCATGTGCAGGTTCCAGCCTAAGGACAAACTAACTCTAAAGTAACACCATCATCCCCCTCCCCTAAACTGCATAGAACACAGGCGAGAAAATCTCAGCAACAACTGCTTCAATCTACTGATTCACTCGTATTATGACAATTTTGCTGTTAATGCAGACATAGTCCTGCGTACCTTTCAAATAGGGTCTCTAAATAATAGGTATTTATTAGTTGCATATTCCCACCCATATGCCTGAACCTAAGAATTCCTGACATGGTTATGCAAACAGTTTTTTTAATCAGCTATTCCTCTCTACCACAGATCACCTGTTTTGTTGTGAGGGTGGGGTTGTTGGGGGTTTTTTTGGTTCGTGGTTTTTTTGTGGGTTTGTTTTTTTTTTTTTAAATGAGTAAAGTGTAGATACATAGAATAGAGCCAATTTATCGCTATTTGACATTAGCATTACAAGTTTTATTATTTCATGCCCAAGAGAAGGAATTCTCCGGTTCGATCTTGAAGGACAGGGCAACTTGGCAGCAGGCTTTGTGCCATCAAATTGTTACGCTTGATGACATCCAGCACTTCACAGCCTCCAGCCCTCACCTTGCTTTTCCAGAGCTGACTTTATTGAAAAGGTAAAGATACAGAATGGAGTTACTTACCCATACATCTTGAGCGTTTCCTTCTTTACGAGCATCTACATGCATTACTACAGAAAGAACGTTAAAATCTTTTCTCTGACTCAATTCTCTAAATGTCTACTAGAGCACAATAAAACAAGAGCACCACCAGCGATCTCAAAAAAGATCACGTCTTGCACGTTAAGATTTCTCCTTGTTCCCAAAAAAGGGTCGGAAATCAACACGGCTTCAAAAAAAACCTTTGACGTGACTAAACAGTAAGGGAATACATCAATACAAGAAAAAAATTCCACAAGTAAGGTTTATCTATTTTGTTAGGCTTCTCAGGATTACAATTGGTTTGACTGTTAAAATTTCCTATCTAATCAATACTTTGGAGAAAGGAGGTATGTCAGGGAAGCATACTCATCTACTCTTTTGACTAGAAGACCAGCGTATTAAAAAGCATACCTTAAAAATCTCTGAGAATTTCAAGAAGGGAATATTTACAACGGATATTCTGAATTTCAACAGCAAAAACCAAACAGAAAGGAAAACTAATGGAATTTGAGAGTAAGGAGAAAACCCACTATTATTAGATTTCAGTTTTCAACCAGGCTCAGGGAGAACAAAAAGGTATATTTAATTCATTAAACTCCTCAAAAAAAGTCTTTTAACACAACTAGTGTAGGCATACAATATAAAACTTAAGTTTTTATAAGAATCTAGACTTTTCTTTAAAAAACAAAACAAAAACCATATCCCATTTTTCCTTAAAACACATCTCGCAAACATTTTGATACCAAATTAAATCCTCAAACTATTTGCTTAAGTACATGTATGAAATCCTTTTCACAGCAAGAAAAATACTTACATCATCCCAGGTCCAGCATTTTTCATTGGCAGTAATGCCAGTCTCTCGGTAGTATTCTTCCAGTGGTGGTTCCAGAAGAATCACATCAAATTTAGACTTCAGTTCCCTGATATCAAAAGCTTCCAAGTCTGCTTGTAAGTACCTGTTTAAACAAAAGATGATAGATTGTTTGGACAAGTTATAACAGTGGTTTGAGAACTACACTCCACTCAGCACTTCTGTGTAGCCAGTTAAGAGTAGGGTCCCCTGTGTAGTTCATATAGCTCACACGCACTACATCCAGAGGAGATGCGCAACGCATTCTCACTTAACCTAGGCTGGATGCTGTCGTGTTAGATTTTTTTAAAAGTCATCTTTCTCTCAATAAACAGTTTTTAGGATTCTAATTTAGCAAGCAGGAAACAGATGCCCACACAGACTGTACAACAATATCCAGTACAGAATCACTGAACTTTCTGTACATCCATGGACTATATAGGAGAAAACATCAACATTTCAGAAGCAAACACTCACTGCCTGGCTAACAGACTTCTATTTTGCTTCACTTTGGCAAAGTGGCATATTTTTAGAATTGCCATTTATTATATGTTATGTTCAGGAGATTCTGAATACTGGAAGTGTGGTTACTTTTCATATAGTAGAAATGTATTTCTCTACCCCTATAACAAAACCGTAATTCCCCCACACATTGATTTTATTAAACACACACTCAAACGCACTCTTACGACTGGCCTCCACACCTGCCCACCACTCACTGCTGTATCACCATCAAAAAAATTACACTGCCCTCCCCTCAATACCTTCAACCTGAAAAAAGCCGATTAGCAGACCACCACCTCCCCCTTCCTAAGAAACTGTCTGGAAGAGATTATTATCCCGTAAGTGCATTTGGTGTTATCGGAAGGCAGCATTTGATTACTATTTTTTCCCCTTTTGTGCTTTAAGGCTAAGAATGCCAAACTGCATCTAACTTCAAAATAGCAAGTCGAGTTTTGCAGTTCGTATCTCAGTTGTTCAGACAACTATTTCTGAGTTTTTCATGTGACTATCATGAAATAATGCGATTTTACTCGGTACAGATTAGGACTACAGTGTATTAAAAGCATTAGATTCACATTCAGATAGGTTCAAATTCCTGAGAGTAACATGCTGCATGCTTATACCGTGTCTAATGTTCAGCAAACACTCGGAGGTAATTTGAAGTTAATAAGACAAATCACTTCCAGCCAGCCTAAACTTTTTTTTGGTCTTAAACTACGAAGTAACATCTGACTAATGGACACTACGATAACAGATGAACATTATACAAAAAAAGCTGTTACAAGAACAACTAAGGTTACATTAAGAGGCCGATTTTTTTAAAGCTTTTTTTGTTATTGTAAACTGTATGATATCACGAGATTTACGATCATACAATGTTCTTTTAGTTCCAAATTAAAGCCTGCAGTCCAATCACTTGACAGCTCGGTCTTAAAAACCGAAGCTTTCGATACTATAAATAATCACACGCTGGAAAGAAAATCTAGTTTATATACTATATTAAACATCTAGATTAAACTAACAAAAACAAACTGATTTTATTCTTCTGAAGTTTCAATTGATTAATTTGTATAAACAAACAGAAATAGAAAATGTAAATTCTGAGCAGGTGCTAAAGATAGAGATTTGCAAAGCAGACAGCTAACTTCAAACAGGTCCGGAGAAGAAAGGCATTTTCCACAAGAACACTTACATGGGAGGAGTGTTAGATTTAGATATCAGCTCATCCTTCAACCTGATGAGCTCTCTAAGTTTTGGGTATTCTTCAAACCTATCTGCTAAGCCTAAGAAGAAGAAAACATGAAGTTAACAACTACTTGAGAGTAAATCTGTATCAATTAAGCATTGTCCAGTATTCTGAATAGGTCCAAATGTTAATACTTGCCCCATTTTAATTTTTGTGAGAACAAACCAAACTCTTCAAAGCAGTTTTCACAGAAGCCTCCTGCCTTCGCCCAGTTAATTACGGCTGTTACTGAATGTAGTGCCTATGCTCTAATCTTGTCTAGAGCGCTGCAGTGATCAGGAGTTCACAACTCCTTTTATCAGGAGGAAACAATCTTTCATTTAAACTAAAAGTGCCAGAATGATGAAAGTTATTTTGTTATCCCCCCCATCCATGAGTTTATATTAAGATCTAATTAACATTCATTTACAGAATATTCTTATTTAACCTTTGAAGACTATTTCTAAGGTGGCAACTGGGGTGCGGCTGGTTCCCTTAGGCAACCCTTGTATTGAGATTTGGTATTCTGGTGTCAGTCACGAAGATTTGAAGACATGTACATTTATTTATTGGGTTCCTAGACTTAGCTTTATGATGTTAGTTTTCAAACCTTTCATAAGTACAGAATGCAAGAGGGAGAACCCTAATTAGGTTTTCTGCAGCAAACTTTATAAAAAAAGAAAAAAACAAGCAAACTTTTCAGTATATTACATTCCCCCTTCAAAAAAGTAAGTAGAAACAGTACGTTTTTGTCATTGCTAGTAGTAGTATCAGCACAAACCAAAAAGGTACCATTCCTGCCTCCCAAGCAGTATCAGTTCAACTTTAGCAGGCATTATTTACAAAGCTTCATGTTCATTTAAATTTACACCTTTAAATGGTCCTAATCCATGGAGGAAAAAAAACCCACACAAACCCCAAAACCCTTCATCCCTCTCCTTATTTTAATTCAAATTTCTGAACTCCCAACCCTAGCATCACACGAGTAAAAGCAAAGTTCTTAGTATCTAACCTTATTATCTCTTATTACATGTGCATAAAAAAACCCCAAAAGTTATTTTCATTTTTTTCCTTAAATACAAAACATCTTGAAAACAGCACTGTGTTCTTCTGATTTCCACTGCTGTGTTGCTTCCAGCCAGCGCAAGTCAAATATTCCTGACCAGCAGAAACGGAAGCCAGTTATCAGCAGCCAAGCAACAGATGTAAAAGAATTTTCAATCAAGATGACTTCAGTTGTTAAAAAAAACAACCAAACAAAACCAAAACACAAAACCCACAGGTCTCTCTTCCAACAGCAACATCAAAAAGACGTAACTGGGTGTTTTGGAACCACTACTTCTCTACAGCTTTCTGTAGGGTCGTGTCCAATTACAAAGTAGCACCCAAACAGAGTTTTGATCTTCATGTCGAAAATGCATGCTAACCAATATGCAACTTGACATTCTAATAAAGACTAACTAGACTAACTGCTGCTGACACATTCATTTCCATATTAACACTCATGTAACACTTTGTCCTGTCCCTTCCCAATTCTTTACACAGCAGAGAAGTCAGAGTAAGTAACATGGGCTGCTATTTCTTCATACTCATCTTATTTCAAAGAACAGTGTATAACTATTTCAAGTACGTAACTGTGAAGCCCAGATGCTTTTCAGAGGAAGACATAACTGAGTCAAAACAGCCCATTTTTCATACTAAACATCCAGATGTGTTTCACAGAAGCATTCACAAAATATAGAGAAGAAACAAACTAACTGCCTCAATAGGCAAACAAAACCTCTTTGGGCTGGCATCTATGTACACAGCACACCCTGACAATCTTAAACTTGATAAAATACAGAGAACTGTTGCAGAAAACTGCAGAGGGAGGTGTCCCGCTTTTTTTTAAAACCAAATAACTACCATTCTGGGAAACAAGACCAAACCATACCTTAGCTTTAGAAAGATTAAATTCAGGCCTAATAAAGTAAGATTTCACTACCAAGTTCAGTGATGGCCGGATGAACGTAAACTTATAACATCCTCTAAAGTCAATAATATGTTGGGCCTTCTAATGAGTTGTCAGCAGTTACATAATTTAGCTGGTAAATATTATCCATATTGCTTACTGACTTAAATGTAAGTATTTTCCATACTTTACATGCTACATGCATTCTTGGAGGCAATACAGTCCAGGAAACAGCTGAACTGTAAGCCAGTTATTCAAATTTCTAAAGGTTTCAAGATCTGCTCCCTAGACTCATCTACTTTCTGGAACAAGAAGAGCTTAGTTTTGAAGAAAATCTCCTGGTTAAATACTTTCAAATAAAACCAAGAGTAAGAAGAGCCTTGGTAATAATCACCTCCTAAATGATTAAAAATAAAACCATTCATATAAATTTATACATTGATGTGCATTCACACAGAGAGACAAAACTACGAAGTACACCCGTATCTACATTTCCCAGTAACTATAAGGATTTAAGAAGGGGAAGAAAAAGAAGTGCTATTGAATAAAATGAGTTATCTTCAAACATATGTCTGACTATGACATACCAACATCTCTGATGAAGTTCTGGGGTCTGTGTCCTGTATCCACAAAGTGTTGGCAGTAATCGTTGTGTGGATTTAAGCTCTGAGTACCCTGGAGAACAAAAGGGAGTTCAGCAAGAGCAACGGGGAGCTAACTGGACATACACACACACTACATGTCTTAGTCTGACTAATGAGAAATAACAGATTTATTTTTTTTCTTCTCCTTTTCAACATGCCTTTATAAGCTAAACCAGTCAGGACCCTCATTGTGTTTTTAGTTCCAAATCAGGCCCACCATTACTAAGGTTCATTGTAGGTTCATTGACCCAAATCTTTAGTCAGATCAATGTAAGCACTAGTTAGAGTCATATCTTTCACAGGAAACTTCCGTACTTGTGAATTCCCGTCAATTACTTCATCCTTTAAAGCTGTTATTTCAAATACCATTAATTGCAGAAATAGTTTAATGCAACTATGCCAGCTTTGACTAGACTTCTAAGTGCAAAAGCAGCTCACCTTAAGAAAGGTACTGGAATCTTTGTAAATCTCTTCTTCATAGGGCAGGTTCTCTTCATCTTGCTGCAGCTCTACTTCATCCTTGGAAATAAAGCAGATATTACAAGTATGCAAGATCATGCTGTTTCTCTCCTCATTATGATTCTGCCTCTTAAGGAAAGAAGTGGGCTGTCTACAAACAGAAGTCTCCTAGAACAGCAGATCATGAATGGTTCCAACTTCAGTTTTGGAGGGGAAAAAAAAAAAATTACCTATTCCCAAAAAGGTCTGCCTCTCTCTCATTAATGAGGAGAGCATTACAGGGCAAGGCCTCTGAAAGAAGAATAAAATAAGAAACCCTTCATTTCTAGACCCTGACAGTGTAGGCAGTGCTTTACAAGGTGTTTCGGTTTTGTCCCAAAAAATTTCATTCCTTGGACTAAAGTAAATGATACGTTTTATTGAAGTTCTTCTGTAGTAGAACCTTTGAACATTTATACCCACTCAATCATCTCTTATGTTCCAACCTCAGCAGCTGAAACCATCTTCTCTACATAAATCTGTTAAAGTCCACACTTTGCAAAAACAGCACATGGTACGAGCCAGTATTTCATTTGGACTGTCCCATCTCGTAGTCTCAAAATTTACAGAAAACAGGAATTGTATTGCAATTTTTTTCCCCAGTTAGTGTGTCACCAACTGTTCATTCATCAGATTTCTGGAATTCAGAGATCTATCACACTGACATACTCTGAACATCCAACATAGAACTCAGAGAGAACAGAAACAGAAAAGAGATTTGCTTCTTCATGTCACCTTCTGTCTTCCCATTGATCCTGAAACAACCCAGTTTATACATTATATATTATATATAAATAAAACTGAAGAACCACTAAAGAATATCATCTACCATATTTTAGTAGGATGCATATGCTCTTTCATACATTACTGATTACAACAGAAATCTTAATCAGTTAATACAGTGCTTCATGTGAGGAGAAAAGCAGTCTCAAGGCTGAAATATTAAAAAAAAAGACACTTTAATACACTGAAATAAAAGGAAAGATGGAGAACCAGACTTCTCACAGAAAAGAGCTCAACTTCTCCCCCCCAACACACATCTTAAGTCAAAAGATGCAGAGAAGAGGCTCTTATTACTGCTGCATTTAACCTATGCTACATAAGCTGTCTGAATGCCGAATGAAAACTTAAGTGTTCTCCCTATTTTGATCCCTCTTAGCTGTTGAAATCTTAAAATAAGCTCTGTGTTCTTTCCAAATTGGAGCTTTGAACCAACTTCTGAAATGCCTGCTGTGATTAATAGGTCACAGATTCCCCCTCCCCATTATTCAGGTGAAGAACTTACAGAGATATAGTCTTTTTGTTTGTTTGTTTGTTTAACCAGACCAAAAAGAGAAAGATTACTATCAGAAACAGCAACAGTGTTTACGACGAAAAGGAATGAACAGCAGACAAGCAGCAGCAACTGTTATTCAGGCAAAAAAAAGCTGAAAGCTTGAGTTTTACTAAAAACTGCTTATGCTATCATAAGCTTACACCTGTTTCCCCTCTTCCATCTTCCTCTAAATCTTAGCCTTCTGATGCTTAGCACTTGGTTAGATACCTACTTCTGAGTCATCCCAGTTCTCTTTATGCCTTCATAAGTGATTTAAAAAAAAAACAACCCAACCAAAACAGTCTTGTGGCCACAAACAAAAAGCCCACACCACCAACTTTCAAAAGGGAAAGGACACAGTCCCAGCAGAGACAGGATGAAATTAACAGTAATACAAGATACTAGGTCCTTGTGCATTAATCATCCTTGTTTTCCAAATCTGGTATATTGTTGCCCAGTTTGGGAAGCAAAACCTACCCGCAATATTGAAGCATGTAGTTTTTTCAAATGACTAGAGATACATTAAGCAATTACGATGATTCAACGGAATAAGATTTTTCCAGCCTCCAGAACAATGGCATGGAAGCATTCCAAGCTCGCAGGCCTCTGCTTGCAGAAACGAAGTAAAAAGGGACTGTATCAAATTAGGCTGGCAGACAGCAAATTTGAACCACAGGTATTTTCCTACTGCATACAGAGTTAAAACTCCGGAACTCTTTGCCAGAAAACACTGTTGATACCAGACGTTTATACAGGTTCAAACACCTTCACAGTAACCCATTTTCACCAGCAATTACAGCTAGATGCTCAGGGTCCAGCTAGAGCAGTTGAGGTTTGAGGACACGTTCATTTCCACCAAATCTGAAGTCAGGGCACAAAAATTTTAAACCACTTCAGAAGGATCAACTGATACCATCACGTAGAAACCAACACTGCAAGTCAGGGTTTTAGAGACATACGAGTCACTTTACGTCGGAAATACTTACCTCAAATTTTCCTAACAAAATGGACAAACTTGCAATATTTGTCAGTAACACTAACAGTTAAGTCTATCATCACTTTTGTCTAAGAAGTATTAAACACAATCCAATAGGGCTTCATACCATAAGGATCTAAATTCTTGTATCAGTTCATATTACAAGACTCAATTTAAACAGGCTCAAAGTACTAATGAAAAAGTTACATGAATACAGATGGGATTTTACTAAGTTCTTATCTCCTTGCCAATAGGGAATTAGCAACGTCCGCAGAAAACAGCTGATGACTCCACTATAGATGTTCTACTTAGGGGTTTCAAGTTTCTTAAATCAATTCATCTGCTTGACTGAAGTTGGTCCGAGCTAGTATTATTAAAATATTCTTCAATTTCAACGACACAGCAAGAGTCTGGCCACTTGCAAGTGGTTACAGCCCGCCTCAGGGTAAGTCTTCTCCATGCTAACGAAGACAATGTTAATGATAAGATTGATATGCTTTGCCAAGTGAAGTGACTTATCCACATATATTTCACAGAAAAAAAAACGTGTCGTTTAACCACATACTTGGTGAAGGAGTGAAATAAACCGATATGAACTGATCACTAATGTGAACATAAAAACCCCACTTGACAAACAGTGCAGGTACTCTGTAAATCCCTTCTTTAAGATGGTGACTGAATTGGTTTGCTAAACAAGATGTACAGACTAACACTTAGCATGTTAAAAAGAATGTCTGTCCACTTACAGACAGACTTTAAAAATTAGTCATCAAAAAATGTCCTGTCATACATTAACTTTTTGTTTTAGTAAGACAGAAGTAAAACGGACATTATTACAGAAAGATTTATAAACCTGAACACAAATGTAACACTACCAAGGCCGCGTATTTCAAAAATTACTATTTTTAGGCATCCAAGAGAACAGCAGACACTGCATTATTTCATAAATGCACTGACCTTGATTCTACTTAGCCACAGAAGCAAGGTTATTAGGACAAGGAAAAAAAGGGAGAGGGAGGATATATGCTGCAACAAGATCACAAAGCAAATCAGAAAGACAGCTGTACCATAATCATGCCTTTGTTTAACCTCCTTTCTCTACCACTCATCTTAGCCAAAACATCACATTAGATATGAAACAAGAAAGCTGTCAAATCACTCTTGGATGAGCATTTGAAAAATGAAGGGCATGAGAGTTTGACAACCACTCATTCTTCAATGGCCACGGAGGCGTTCTGTTTTTTTAAACTGAGCTCTTCCTGGATATTTTGGATACTTAAAGCATACCCCAAACTGAGCCTCTTTCTTCCATTCCCTTAGAATCCCTTACTCCATCCATCCATCCATCCATCCATCCATCCATCCATCCATCCATCCATCCATCCATCCATCCATCCATCCATCCATCCATCCATCCATCCATCCATCCATCCATCCATCCATCCATCCATCCATCCATCCATCCATCCATCCATCCATCCATCCATCCATCCATCCATCCATCCATCCATCCATCCATCCATCCATCCATCCATCCATCCATCCATCACTGCATTCCTTTGCACTTAACAGGCAGGTTGGAAGACACCCTCATCACCCTGTATCTTATCCACTGGCCTGTGCCTCTCGCTAAATGCAAGCTTTTCTTCTGACACAAAGCAATTCTGGTCAAGATTTTTTTGTGTGTGCGCACCCAAGCGGGCACACATTTTACCACTTCTTCCCACACGAGACGGCCAGCCGTGGCACACTGCCATTCCCCGTGGGCACTATCACCTAAGCCTACCACCTCCTAGGAGCAGCACTAAATTAAGCCTCCAAACATTGGGTTCTGGTGCGTGTACAGTTCAATGCCCTAAGCCACGTCTGAAGAGAACCACTTAGTGCCTATGCCCCCTCTCTTAGATCTCTGCAGTGGAAGACACCAAGGGAGATGCCACTGAGAGACGTATACTTTACACTATCTATACACATTGCATCGCATTTATTTTTATTTATATGCACACACATATATTTTATAAGTCTCTCAGAGACACCTGAACACCAGAGAAAAGTAACTTTTTCCTTTTTTCCTTTACCTTATATTCTTCAATCTCTTCCTCATCAGCTTCTCCCTCATCTGGGTATTTGCGTTTTGCGTTTGGTGCAGAAGTATCATAAGCAGCCCTATAAACATCCAAAAAAAATCCTCATATGAAACAGTTTCTCTCTCCAGAGAGCACATTTCAGAAATCTCTGATAGTCTGCCCTGACTACATGTTTCTGTTACAAGTTTAAAATTATTTTGAAACTTTGTACGTGAGAAGTTGTTCCTCTCTCAGTATATTTGAGACTGGCACAACTTCTTAAGGCCAGGACTCCTGAAAACAGCTATCTCACTTCCCCATTCTTCTCTTCTAAAATGCACAGCTTGTTTTAACCAAAGCAGTCAATCTACAAAATTAAGCCTGCTCACGCAAGAAAGTTATTGTTACATGAGAAAATTCATAAGCACTAGCTACTCTGTCCTAGACATGTCTATTGTTCCATAAGGACTTTTAAACTAAATTGCCCTGCGACTGCTCTTAGCAGAAGTACAAAGGCTCTGGGACAACGCAGACGACGTACTCTACAGTCACACCTCAGGTTTGCTCCACGGTGGCTTTTTAACATAGGAAGCAAAAGCTAGCCTTCACTTCCAAACTGCTATTAGTAGTGAGTGACTAAACCCTACTGCTCACCTCATCCAAAGTTCAGATTTGAGGAATTAAAGCATTTTCTTTCACCGAATCGCGTGCTTTTAAATAAACGGCAAGATCTTGTTTCGCTGTTTGGAGCGCGACCTCACCCCGCCTCAAAGGCTTGTACCGCTACCGGCCCCCTCCCTTCCAACAGGAGCGGGGCACCGATTCTGACCTGCACGTTTCTCTCGTTTCGGCGATCTCCCGCTGGTCATCTTTACTGTTCAGCACGGCACCGATGCTGTCCGCGTTCTCAGCTCCTAACTGGACAACGGGCGAGGCAAGTTCAAGCCGCGGTTACCACCGATTAAAGAGACCCAAACGGTAACCACCAGGGAGCCGAAGGGCCGCTCCTCAAACTCGACGCGCACCCTCCTGCCAGCC